CAGTGTAATCAGTAAATTTCCCAAACGCACAAATCTGAATACTTATACCACTATTAAATATGTGAGGTCCCTGGCTGAACACTCCGGTCAGTGAAAAAGATAATTATCTTCAGCAGAACCTGTTGCAGGTTTCAAAACTTCAGAAGCCTTTGAAAGAAACATTAGTGAGCAGTTGATAATCAACTATCAGACATTCTAAATGCAGCATTTGTTACCTAGCAACTCTAACTGAAATTTTGAGATCTGTAGATAAGGATCAAGTCTTTGTGGTAAAGTCACCGTTTCAGCTACAAAACACGACCATGAGCTAAGAGTCATTAGTTTTGTCATGAAGACAGACTCACAGAATGGCTTGGGTTGGAAAGGATCTCAAGAATCATCAATACGTTCTTTGAATACGTTCTTTTTTTTTTTTTTTTTTAACACCAACCTGTATTCAGGACTATTTTCTGAATCGCAGAGACTCTGGTTGCAGTATGTTATGCAGGTACAGTCCCAGCTTTAAATCAGTTTTCTTTCCTATCAAGATCAAAAACCTAAAGATCATCTCCTACATGCCAAGAGATTCAGCACCCGAGTAGTGTGGAACACTTCTGCAGTATATGGAACAAGTGCTTTGCAGAGATGTTTACAAAACAGGGAGCACTTTTAACCTAGACCAACAACTTATCAGAAAAGGATCTTAAGCCTCATACCTTCCATTCTGTATTACTCCTTAACCCCTGGACTCTTTCCTCGCTATTCTAGGCTTGTCTTTGAGTAGGAATTGCATTCTGGACCAGAGGAAAAAAAATTCCATAAAGTCCTGTATGTACATTCCTGAAAAGAAGGACTAGTTTCAAGCAATTAACATTCTCTAATGGAAAAGCTACTTTGCCAGAGAATTCTTGATCATTTCTAATTTGACTTCGAGTAACTAATAAAGCAATATGAAAGTAATTACATTAGCTATGAATATAGCATTTCACAAACAGGAGGCAATAAATTAGAGACTCCTGCAGAAAAGTCTGAAAATGCTGGCAGTGTTTGAAAGTCCTGCTTCATGTTGCATTTCCCAAGAGACACTGATTATTTTCAAAAAACAACAATCAAGTATCGTTTCAGAGAACTTTCCATCACACTCCATTTTAGGTTAAAAGATGACAATTTTTGATGAAAACTGTATTACATTTCTAGTAAAGACAAGTTCATTAGCTTACAGAGAATATGCACTAAACTTTGTATTCTGGATCGCGAAAGCAGTTATTCACAAATCAAAGTCAATGCCCTACATGAGTCAAGTATAAAAAATGTGGTAAGACTAAGTATTGTGCTTATTAAGCAGTTCTTAGGGCAACTGTCACAAGAAGCTACAGAGTCAATGTTTACTCTTTCCTCTACTGAAATAGCCCAGGCTTGACCCATGTCAGAGCCTGAATTAAGAACTGTAACAAAAACCACAAGATCCAAAAGAGTAGGCATTTTCTTAACTCTACATTAGCAGTACAGTAAGTTTGCAAAATATTCTCCTACGATAAACACAGTAGTCTCTAAATCCAGGCTGTGGCTATTAAAATACCAAAGACACAGCAAAATCAACTACTGCAACGACTTCATTTTTACTTTATTCCCATCACCTTAAAGCAAACAGAAAAATCCTAAATCCCAAAGCATTGAAGACTTTGTCCTAACATTTAACTTTTTAATAACTTGCAGGCATTTTACAGGAACTGAGATGGAACAGAACACCCACAGCTCTGTCATTCTCCACATTAGCACAGTTTATGGTAGAAGAAATATTAATAGTTATGAATCTGAGCCACCTCAACAGCACCTAGCTCAGCATTTTAATGTCTTCTTTTCAAAATAAAAATTTTAACTGCATCTTGAAAAAGGGAAACATAAAAGCCTCAGAGAATGAGAAAAAAACAAAGTCTGAAACTTTGCTGTATTTAAGAAGGAAGAAAGTAAATTTCTGAAGAAATTCCTTTATTTCTTTTTAATACAATTTGAAGGAATTAAAATTCTGAATTGTAACAAGGATTCTTATTTGCTAACACTCTAATTGCAGTTTCATGTTGTTAAAACTGCTTTCTTTGATCATCTGTAGAAGAAATAGACCACACACTGGACAAACATAGCTTCATATAAAACAACAGAATGAACATCTTTGGAAAATTTTTCTCCGGTGAAATAAGAAATGTAATCTGCCAAAACAAAATAAAACAACCCTAAAAAAAAAACAACAAATAAACACATACACACAATCCCATTTATATTCCCACCTCATCTTTATAAAACGTAGCATGCTTTTTGGATGGGTTATGCAGCATCTGGACAGCAATTAAAGAAGCTCAATTTATATGTAAGTCAGAGAAGGAAGCTATAATACACTTTCATAAACAAATGCAAACAAGTGACAGCAGCTGAGAATATGAATTAAATGCTTAAAGTTATTATGATCAGGGCTACTTAACATTTGCAACAATGATACAAAATGATGAAAATTACCCCAGATTATTGCATGTCCTTAAAAGCATCCGTGAAGTTACATCACAAATTCAGCTGAAGAGCTACTTGGCTGTTGTTATGATGAGAGCAATGAGAGAATGGTCATAAGTTCATTTGTAACCAATTCTTAGCTCAAAGAGTGTGCAGCAGTGAACACATAAGAAAGAAATCTTCCCCAGGCCAAATACTATTAAATGGGGTGTAATTTCAACAAATACTTATCTTTTATTTAACTTAATAACTAGCAGGATTATTTTGGTCTTTCTATGATGGCAACATATTATGAAATAGACTTTATCCTATGATATAATAACAAATGGATGAAAATGCCAAAGGTGACAGAATTAATAAATTGGGGTCTGATCTCAGTTAGTTTGCAAGAGTTAAGTCTATGAAGTAAATAGATTTATTATCAAGACAATTTCATGATATATTTTAAAGCTTTCTTCCCAACAAAGACAGTAAGTATTAACAGTTCTGCAATGTATAATCATTTATTTTGAAAATTGAAAAACTGGAAGATAAAACAAGCTACTTGCTCAAAGATTTATCTCACAACACAATACAAAACCCAAACTTACCTACTACTGAAATTAATAAATAATGGTAAAAAAGCCAACTTCCACATTGTGGACTGGTTTCATTTCATGCATATCTAGTTCAAAAGACTTGAGTAAGTGCTAACAGAATGGGAAAATATTTTTCCTCTGATTTGCAGATAACATGCAAGTTCTGTGTGTTATCTAGACACGGACCTTAAGGTGTTTGCCAAACAAAAATCTTTGTCAATATAGGCTTTCCAGCTATTTAAAATAATTACAATTTTAAAATATATTAACATCACTGGAACTTAACCTGGAACTGTGCCAGGTTAAGCATCTGCATGACTGAATATAGCCTACTTTCAAAACTATGCCATTAAGCTGTTTCCTGAAACAGGATGCAGTTGTCTACAAAGTGCATGCATATTTATTTTACTACAAAAATGCTTACAAAACAAAAAATGCCACCCTTCCATACTTCGGACAACTGGATTTGTACTTCTTTTAGAGAGTTAATGACACGATAGCAGTAGCTAGAAAAAGAAAAAATATTTATAACTTTCAAATTCTGTGTAGAATTGTTATTTTAATTGCAAAAATAATAATAAAAAAAAAAAAACAAGAAAGAATCACTATTTATTTATTTATTTATTTTTTTACCAAATGCTTGCCTGCTTGCTTCTGCTTTGTGCATGCTACCGTAACATAGGAGACACAGACTTAAAAAAACTGCCATTGTAACTTTCTTACAAAAGTTTACAGTAGAAATTCTCCACAATTTCCTTTTAAAAAATGGAATAGCAGTCTTAAATTTGGTCTGGTCTGTAAAAATACCAAACCATTCTATAGCTTGTCTTTTCACATCTGAGGGCTTCCAGTTCAGTACAACTTCCTACCAACAAATTAAGGCTGCTGTTTTGGTTTATGTGACTTAGCAATACTTAATACCAAACTCACAGAGCTGGCACAAGTTAGCACTGAGAGCACCGTTACTTTCTTTTTCTATTTGATCTAGCATAAAACTTTCAGGTTTTTGTTATTTGTTCTGTGGTTTTTCCAAATGAAATTTATTTTTAGTCAGTCTCCAGTTCCCTCCTCCACTGCGACATTTAAACAAGGAATGCTTATTTACTCTCACCACCTTCATCACCACACACTGGTTTAAACTGAACAAACAATATGCTACGGTCAATTTCACATGCGTACGCACATCAGAATCTGAAAGCAGTTTGTGCTTCTTCACCCTAAGATCTCATTGTTCAAGTGAAGAAATCAGACTCATTGTGGCTTTCACTGAACAAATCAAATAATTGGAGAAGTAACTTTATTTTTACTGTTGTCACTGTCTTAAGCTAAAATTCTACTTACAAGTCTGTAATTTTTATCTCCACATGATAATGCATATGTTTTTAAACAGGTAACAGATTATGAAATTACTTCTATTGCTTGTTGTAAAAAAAAATTCTAATAAAGACTAGAGACCTGGTTCTTTAAGCCTTACTCATATATTCATATGGCTGCTTAAAACTGGATACTAATTAGTTTCAGTGCTAATTCATCAGAACACAGTGGTAACACACATCCCTTGACAACTGCCCTGTCTACCTCCTCCCAAATCCCCTCAAACAATTTCCCAAAGAGCATTTGGAAAGACTACTGAAACAGACACATTGAGCTTCACAATCTGTCAGGCATCTACTGCCACATTAAAGAGAAAACTGTTACCCTAATGAGTCGAGTTTCTGAAAGATCACTTCAAACATTTCACAGAAAGCCTCTAATAGATGATCCCATTTCTCAACCTTTCTTTTTAGGATATGGTTAATGAGTTCCTAAGAAGACCAAGTATAATTTATGGTTAATGAGTTCCTAAGAAGACCAAGTATAGTTTGGCTGTCTTACACGACGGATTTTCAATTTGTAATACTGTTTTCACACATTTGAGCTAAAATAAAGAGTCTGACACAGTTTTCTGCTTCATAGTTTATTATCTTTTTGTACACATTCCAGAACATTAAGCTGACAGTCTGCCTTAACATGAAGAATAAGCAGCTTTGGGGACTGAGATCTGTTTCTGGTACTGCTGGAGATCCAGGGTGTAACTTGCAAAGCCAGTCAGCTCTAAATCTCAGCATTTCAATCGTCTTCACCATAGAATAGACATCAATTTGTGTGGTGAGAAGAAACACATAGTATAAGAAATACTATCAAAAACATAAGTGACATATCATGGTAAATCTGCACACAGTATTTTGGAAGGGAAGACTTTTAATGTCATTTTGATGTCAGTTGGAAGGGATACTGTGAAATGAAGCCACTGTTGTCAATCCTCTTCAGAGCTAGACTCATCCTCCTGGTCAGAGAGCTCAGCAACAGGGAAACGCAGGATAGCTGCTACCCCTGTCAGCTGGCCAAGCTGCTCCCCAGACACATGAAGGCTGGAGAAAATGCGCACTGTGCCCATGTTCTCCCGTACACTATCTACCAATTTAACATATCGGGCACGTGTAGCCACATCCTGGTGCCGGAAGAGCTCATCACTGATCAACAAAGTATCAATGGCCATGGCTTCATTGGCCTTTTCCACGTGTTTTAGGCCATAAAAAGCCCGGTCAGGCTCATGTTGCAACATTTTATAGAAGTCATCTAAGGCTTTGACCTCACCAGCAGCCTTAGTGTCAGAGAGACGGCTAGTTACAGCTGGGTCACAAAGTGCCTCCTTCAGTGCGTACTTATGTCCTGATGATGAATGCACCTGGAGTAAACAAAATCAGAGATTCTTTCTTTAGTACAACATTCAATTCTCTTGATTAGCCAACCACAAGTAGATTCCACAATACATACTTATCTTGATAATAACCAACTTGTCTCTTCCTTGAACTCTACAACTCTTTTCTTAATTTTTCTCCTACAATGCAAAGCTTAACCTAAATCCACAAACTGTATTTTAAGTGTACAAAAAAAAATTGATTCTCTTCTTCAGAAACTTTCCTGAATAAGCAAGCTCCTACCTAAGGCAGGAGCATCTCAAAATACTGAGAAAACTTAATCCTCTTTATTTTAAAACATACAAGAAGAAGATGATCTCTTAAGACTGAAGACATCCAGCACAAAAGCATTAAGTCCAGTGTAACTGCATATTTCTATGTTTGCTTTTACACATTATCATCACATTCCTGTATGTGCAAGAGCACATAATTTAAGACTACCAAACCTTACTACCATTAAGAATAGGACCCTCCCCATTCTGAAAGTACAGATTAGGCCTGCAAGAATCCTTATGAAAGGGAAAACTTACTTTTTCAATCTGACTTCTCCTATTTCAGTGAAAGGTAAAAACAAACAAATAAACAACAACAACAAAAAAAAACCAACAAAAGACTCCAACCATTAGAATCAAGAATATGAAGAAATATTATGGTCCACACAATCTATATCTAACAGCAACATTAACTAACCCACACCACTTCCCTTCCTCTTTAAAAACCTTAAGAAAGATGCAATGAAATTTACATGTTACATAGCATGGCTGATTAACACTACAGTTAAACTGCTTTTCAATTTGTATTTCACTTTTAATTGTGCATTAAATATGTATTTAAAGCCAATATTTCCTACATTTCCTGCTAAGTTACCCTAGGAAAAAAACATTAATACTGATTACAGGATCACAGAATCAATCACCAAGGTAGGAAATGACCTACAAGATCATCCAGCCCAACCATCAACCACCAATCAACAATAGTTCTCACTAAACCATACCCCTCGACACAAAACCCAAATGATCCTTGAACACCTCCAAGGTTGGTGACTCCACCACCTCTCTGGGCAGCCCATTTCAGTGCCTGACCACTCTTCAGTAGTATTTTCTAGTGTCCTAAATCTCCCCTGGTGCAGCTTGAAGCCATTCCCTCCAGTCCTATCACCAGTTATATGAGAGAAGAGCCAACCCCCAGCTCACTACAACCTCCCTTCAGGTGGTTATAGAGAGCAATAAGGTCTCCCCTGAGCCTCCTCTTCTCCAGACTGAACAATTCCAGCTCCTTCAGCTACTCCACATAAGGCCTGTGCTCCAGACCCTTCACCAGCTTTGCTGCCCTTCTTTGAACCTGCTCCAGAGCCTCAATGTCTTTCTAGCAGTAAGGGGCCCAAAACTGGACACCACTGTTTCTGTGATTCTGTGTGTGATTCCATGTGAAGTTACCCGAGGAAAAAAAAAAATCTCTGAATGTTGCATAACTACTTTGTAACTTGAGAGGCATGACAATATGCCTTTCTATTACAGCATCTCTTACAATGCTGTAGTAGAAAACTATTTTCTCCATTAAGGGTATTATTTCCCCATCTTCCTTGCATTTCTTTTCTGTTAGCACAGACAACAGCTCTTAACCCACTTCTTAAACTTTTTAAAGACAATGTATCTCCTTACCTGTAAAAACTTGGATCTGTTCTCCAGTAAAAGTTTGTTGTCAGTCTTGACTGCCTGCTGGAACATGTAATCACAGAACTGCTCTCGAACGAAGCCTGGGCTGGCCACCAGGACACACTTCACCACCTCAAAGTTGATGTGCCGCTGGATGGCCTGCACCACCTGTTCATAAAATCTCTCTAGGGCCCGGTCATGTTGGCTGCAGTTTCCTTTCCGTTTGCGGGGGATGTTCACTTCCACCTTGGCACGAGTAAGGGTCATGCTGGGGGTAACCAGGCAGACGTGAGCCAAGCCTTCCTGCATGACCACGGCTGCCACATCAGCGCTCCACGCTGGGTCGCAGGCTTGCTCGATGCGCTCCAGCACCACGCTGTCCCACTGCTTCTTTGCCAGCGTGAACTGCCGGTTGGGCTCCAGCTCGATGGTGTGGTAGGCCCCCATCTTGACATACTCATTCTCCTGGATGTTGGTGCCTTTGACCCGCAGCTGGCAGGCCTGCGAGTCGAAGTCGATGGTCTCCACACAGAGGGTGAGGGTGGTGCGGATGCGGTTGCTGCCCACGCTGCCCGTGGACGACTCGGTCTGCACTTTGCGGATGGTGGAGGCCCGCAAGCTGTCACCCACCTGCAGCAGATTGTAGGTGTGCCACATGTCCTCCGGCTCCTCGGGGATCAGCGTCACCTGCCCCGCATTATCCTTCTCCAGGTCTTTCCTCACCAGCTTCATCCTGCCGGCGCCTTCTCTCTTCAGCCGCGGCGGCAGCGGCCCAGCCGGTCTGCCCGCCCCGGGAGGCTTAGCGGCGGGGCCGAGCGGGACGTACTCGCTACTGACCGGTCAGCCAGGGGCTTATCTCCTGACAACCGACGGCACGCGGCCCCGCGGAGAAATCCGGGCCCCTCGCAGCAGCGGCGACGCGGCTCGTCCAGGCCCCTGAGCCACCACCTCTCCTCACAGCGTGCGCATGCGCAGCGCCTGCCACCACCCTCCCCAAGCGTACGCTCCAAAGCCCGTAGGGAGCCGGTAGAACGCGCGCGGACGGCAGTCCTTTTGCATGGCACGCATGCGCAACGTCTCCCGCGCGCCGCCAACTCAACCATTCGGAGCTGGCGCATGCGCAACGGCGGCAACGTTCAGCCACTGTCGTCCGGAGAGCAGGGGGCGGCTCCCGGCCGTGCTGCGAGTGCTCCGGTCTGTCAGAAAGCCTGAGGCGGGAGGAGGGCTGTCCTGGTGCTGCTCCGTGCCGTGAGGCAGGGAGAGGAGGGGACAACTAAGTAGTTTTACAGGCATGTACGTGTGGAAGGTCATGGGTACGGATAATGGAGATGAGAACAGTACAGCTAAATAGCTGATTTCCTTGCTGTGATAAGAGAACGCTGTGATACTTTAGAATCACATCGAACAGCAATGGTATCTAAAATCTGAGGCGCAAAAGAGGTGACTAGAGAGATCACGTTTACAGACCGCAATGAAAACCAGTTCAAAGTAACGCTAAAACCTGAACTGTTAGTTTGACTTTACTCTTAGAAAGAGGTTAAGGGTTTTGGTTGAACTGGCACTATCTTTCTTTATACATCCTATCTTCACTTATGTTCAAACATGCTCAAAAACTTGAGCTCCATGCTGAATCTTCTGGTGGCTGCAGCCAAAATGAGACAGCTCTGAGAACCATAATTCATAAAAAGCTTGATGTTTTGATGTTCCCAATTCAATTTGCAGCCTGGACACGTTTAACAAAGCAGAAATGATATAAAAAACTGTTGATACTGTTGTGTGAATTCTGCTAATTTTGAAATAGTGCTGAATGCTGTTTTCAGAAGGAACATTGCAAATTTATTAAGAATGAGAGAAAACTGAGAAGAATGGAGACTAAAAGGATGTTTTTGTATGGGAAAAAAAAAGTGAAAATATTTGATAAAAAAGAAGTTGTGCTTCTTTCTAAGTGTATCAGGGCAACTGGAGCAGATAAAGTAAGTTGTTAATGTCTATACTTTAGCCATAACTGAAAAGCAAGAGATATCCTCTTAACAGTTTTAAATTTGCTGCTTTCCTCCTGGACCAGCAACTCTCTGGTTTTCTTTAGTTTCTTAAGAAAATATTCCTAACAAGGAAAATAATTGGACTGAAGGATTTAATAAGATACAAGATTAGAGTTAGCAAAAATCATATCTCCCATTATGTTGTTATTCATGTAAATCATAGGAATTTCTCTAAAGTATCTGGCACTGGCCACTGATTAGAACAGGACACTGAACTCATATCTGGCCCAGTGACATGCATTCAGTGTTCCTAATCTTGATACTGATGTAAAAACAACTTTATCAGATATTACATAACAGGATTTATTTATGAAACCTCAGACTCTCTTCCTATGAGTACACGTTTAACTGTTAGCATGAGTACTTTCACAGAAGGAAACTGGACCACCCAAAGGAATAAAACATAAGCACACACATAACTATTTGTTTAATTTGGGCTTGTGCATACTCATAATTTGTGTTAACGTTTTGTGGCTTAGGTGGAGACTGCATTTAGCTTCTCAGGAACTCCTTTTGTTTGTCTATGCAAATGCTATACTTATGGTGAGTTTTCTTTATATTCTTTGCAGTTAGGAAGTTGCAAGGATAGACCTCACACTATTCTGTCAATGATAATATCCATAGGTGTATTAGCATTCCACATTGGTATTTTTTTTTCTTCCTTTACTGCCTTGCTTTTACAAACTTTTTTTCCACTTGTTGGTTCTGGTTTAATTTTCACTAGCAGTCTTACATCCTTAGAGATATTACACATTTCAGAGAAAGTTTGCAAGTTGGAAATTAGTATCTGAAAAAATAAGGGTTCAGCTCATGGAAGCAGGTGACTTATTGCCAAGCACAAATGCTGCTTAAAAGTAACAACCAAACCAATAAACACTCAATAAAGTTACCTCTCAACATATTAATTTGTTGCTGCATAGGCATTTTGAGATGTGCTTAAATACTTTCTGAAATAAATAATGAGATTTTATACAGTTGGGAACAATGTTCCACAAGTATTTAGCAACTGTAAACTTAAATGGTGTTTTTTAAAATTAGCAAGCCCATTGTCACTTACAAAGGAACACATTTATTAGATGAATATGCTCTGCCTACTCTGGTGAAAAGTAATTACTGAATATTGTTATTTGTTTGAATATTAGAGAAAAAGCAGCAGAAGAAAGAAAACATCTCCAAAAATTTAAGCACATGTAACTAAGTTCGTAAGGGCATACTAATTTTGTAAAGAGAGCTATGAAGTTAATGTCCATAGAGTCAAGTTTTAAATTTTATGGTGTGTTCCAGTCTTGTTGAAAAACTAAGTTGAGATGTCATATTTGAGATCTTTCTGTTTATCACTTAAAAAAAAGTAATAATAGATAGTAGTAATTGCATCAATTTTTCATCCATTTTAATCGCATTTCTGAGTGCAATGCAAAACAAGAATGGTGGCAAGCAAATACTTGTAGGAGTGTTATAAGGCTCTGAACATATTTAAGACACACAATCCTGTATCTTCAAGTTTTGATCATCTACCTTATGAAGAAGGGATGTATTTTGGTCAGACAAGTTATGTTCCTATGAGACCCAACCCGACCCACCACCTGCCCCCACCACTTCTATTATAGGTAGAATCATGCAAAAAACATTAAAGTCCTGGACAAAAAAGAGTGAGAAAGTTCCACTGAGAAAGATTATCAAATACAGGGGGAACTCTGTTGAGAGATTTATGGATGCTATTATTGTAAGAGCAAATGAGCAGATGAAAGTAGAGAGTAAAATTGGTAAAAAAATCAGTTTTCATTCTTTTCCGTCATCCAAAGTCCTGCTTATGCAGTTTCAGGACTCCTTCATTTTCTGTGGAAATGAAGTTCTACAGCTATTTCTTTTTGATTACTGGTCTTTTGTATTATAAAGACAAGTATAGATTCTTATTTAATACCAACAACATGATTACCAGTGAGGAGAGAAAAAAATTGCGAAAGTATTAGAATAAGCATAAGAATATAAATGAAGAATTATCAAAAGTAATGGAACTCCTTTGGCTAGGTTTCTTCCTTCATCTTCTTTCAATCAGAGCTTGCGGAAATTGCAGCAGATCCCTACTTAAACCACATAAACTGAAGCCAAGTAAAAAAAACCTTAACCAACCCTGACAAGTGTTAATCCAACTTCATAAAAACTTGAAGTGAAGGAGATTATGGAGGTGTTTTTTAAGTAATCTACTCTAGGAATTCTATCAATACCCGATGAGTACTAAAATTCTTCTGAATATTCCTTTTTTTTTTTTTTTTTAACCCAGTAAGTTACCTTGTTCTTTGTTGGACATAGAAAACCAAGTGCATAAACTCTTTATATTGGACTTCATATATTGAATATGTTGGTTTATAGAGCTATTGCTCTCATGAAAGAAAAGAAACACTGACATTGGAAAAATATTCTTATATAATAGTACTGTTGTAAAAACATAGATTTGAAACACTCACAGCTTGCTATTTTCTCTCTCTTACATAAACAAGCCTAATTTGTTCAGTCTTTCTTCATTGATTGCATTTCGTCAACTCTTATCACAGAACTGTAGGAATTGCAAGGGACCTCTGGTGATCATCTAGTCCAATCCTTTCCTAAAGCAGATTCCGTACATAGGAAAGAACCCAGGTGGGTTTTGAGTATCTTTAGAGAAGGAGACACCACAATCTCTTTGGGCAGCTGTTTCCAGTGTTCAATCGCCCTCAAAATAAGTTTTTCCTCATGTTTGCATGGAATTTCCTGTGTTGCAGTTTGTGCCTACTGCCCCTGGATCTGTCACTGGGCACCACTGGAAAGAGCCTGGCTCTCCCCGCTTGACACTCACTTTCTAGATATTAATAATTAGATAAATAACATCAGTCTGCTCTTCTCCATTCTGAACATTCCCAGGTTTCACATCCTATCCACGTAAGGGTGGAGTTATTCCAGGCCCATAGTCATCTTTGTGGCCCTTCACTAGACTCTTTCTGTAAGTTTCTTGTCTATTTTGAAGCTCAGACCTGGACACAGTATTCCACATTGGCCTCATAGGGGCAAAATAGAGGGAGAGAAAATGCCACCTCAACTTGCTGGTCACGCTCTTTTAAATTCACTTTAGGGATACCATTGGCCTTCTCGGCCACAAGGAAACACTGCTGGCTCATGGTCAAGCTGTTGTCTACTGAGATTCCCAGGTCCTTCTCTACAGAGTTCCTTTCCAGCAGGTTGTCCTTTGTTGTCCTGAAACTTGTACAGATAGACGCTTTTATTCCTCCCCAGGTAAAGGACTCCACACATCCCCTTGTTGAACCTCATAAAGTTTGTCTCCACCCAACTTTCGAGCCTGTCCAGGTCATGCTGATTGGCAGCATAGCCTTCTGATGTGTTAGCCACTCCTCCTACCTTCATATCATCAGCATACTTGCTGAGGATTCTCTTTCATCCAAGACAGGCTTGTGACTTCTCTGTGCATTCTTGTCTGTTTATTTGCATTTCTCTTACTTCCTTTACCTCTGGGTTTTTAGAGTCCTGGCAAATACTGAGTTAACTAAAACCAAAGTCAGTATGAATACACAAACACACTTCTACACTTTTCCTTTACTCTAGCATGGTTTTGACTTCTAGTGCATGCTATAAAAATAAGGAATTGGCTGGAGGACCGCACCCAGAGAGTTGTCAATGGCTCAGTGTCCAAATGGAGACTGGTGATGAGTGGGATACCTCAAGGCTCGGAGTTGAAAGCAGTGTCATCTTTGTAGGTGACATGGACAGTGGAATCAAGTGCACCCTGCAAGTGTGCAGACGACACCAAGCTGAGTGTTGCAGTTCACTAGAACTAGAAGCAAGGGATGCCATCCAGAGGGACCTGACAGGCTTGAGCTATGGGCCCATACCAACCTCATGAAGTTGAACAAGGCCAAGTGCGAGGTCCTGCGCCTGAATAGGGGCAATCCCAAGCACAAATACAGGCTGGACAGAGAATGGCTTGAAAGCAGCCTGAGGAGAAGGATTTGGGAATATTGGTTGATGAAAGACTCAGTGTGAGCCAGCAATGTGCGCTTGCAGCCCAGAAGGCCAACTGCATCCTGGTTTGCATCAGAAGAAACACGAGCAGCCTGCTGGTCGAGGGATGTGATTCTGGCCTTCTATTTACTCCGTTCTCATGGACCCCTCTTAGAGTGCTGTGTCCAGTTCTGGAGCCCCCAGCACAAGAAGGACATGGAGTTGTTGTAACAGGTCTAGAGGAGGGCCACAAAGATGATTAGTGGGCTAGAGAACCTCTCTATGAGGACAGCCTGAGAGAGCTGGGCTCTTCTGCCTAGAGAAAAGAAGGCTCCAAGGAGACCTTATAGCAACCTTCTAGTACTGAGGAAGGAACCTCCAGGAAAGCTGAGGAGGACTTTTTATAAGGGTAGGTAGCAACAGGATGGAAAATCAGCTGTAAGCTGGAAGAGGGTAGATTTAGACTGGATATTAGGTAGAGATTATTTATTGTGAGGGTGGTGAGACATTGGAAGTCATTCAAGTCCAGGCTGGATGGGGATTTGAGTCTGGTCTAGGTGTCCCCATCACTAGCAGGTGATTGGAAATAGATGATCTTAAAGTTGTCTCTTCCAACTCAAGTCATTCAGTGAATCTATGATAGGATTTGCTTTATTTTTCCCTTTCTAAGAAAAAGCACGTAATTAATTTGCATTATTATTCTGCTGTAATTTTAAATCCCCTTGTCTGTATTTTTCTGACATTGTTTTATTTATATATGACATTCTCTCTTATTTACCTGAGATGCTTTGAATCCTGTTCCTCTTATCTGTAATGCCTTAGCTTTTTTTAAAGTTTATTCTATTTCTCATCAACTACTAATGGAATTGGTCAGGACCCATCCTTGAGATGCACTCCTATTTGATAATACACCTCTTTTTTTTTTTTCCCCCCTTTACTTAATCAAAGTTCTACTTTACTACTTTAATAAATTATTCACTGGTATTACCAGTGGCAACTTTGAAAATCTGAAAAAGAAGTGGCACACTAAATTGTTGCCACTGAATAAAGCAGACCTCTTTAAAGAATGACAAACACATCCTGGCGAATATTGTTGTGTAGTACAAGTAATAATGACATCTATGAACAAGAGCTAAATATTGCAGAACTATGTTCAGATTCCCACATGTTCACATACCAGTTATTTCTTGCACAATAAGCACAGTGAAGAGGAAAAAAACCTTGTCTTGCCTTTTCCCCACTTACTGCTGCCTGCATTTTGATTATTCTTATGAAATGGATTTCTTCCTCTGTACTGATTCAGGTTCACTGTGTTCTAGTTGCTAGCTCAAGAGCTGCTGTGGAGTTCTGTGTCAAAGTTTCTAAGCACATGAATCCCAGTATTGCCTTACACTCTTTCCCACTGGAAAGAGTGAAATCCCTTGGATTTCCCTGATTCTAGTTCCAAAGCATTACTACAGACATAATTACTAGGGGAGGGGGAAGAAATTTTTGTTTCTTTTCATACTTGTTTTACTGAAAAAGAAAGTAAATCCCCAACAATAAATGAAACCCTAAAAGGCAATATTACATATTTCAGTTCCGGATGAACTCATTTTTCCTCAAGTTAACCAGGCAGTTAACTGTTTCCTTACATTCCCCTTTACCATGCACAATATCTTTGAATCTAATAGGAGAAAAACAGAAAAGCTCTAAAAATAATAATAATAATTAAAAAAAAGTGTTGCAGGATGCTTTTCTTTTTCCAAGCCAGTGCCAATTACAGTATTTCTTCTCACCTATTCGTCTTCATCTAGCAGCACTTTTCTTTCCCCCGCACGACTGCATGATTGTTGTAGGGATCAAAGTTCTCAGACAAAAAACCCGAAGTAGTACCTCACGAACTCCTGCAGGAGGGCTAGATGGAGCAGAGGATTCCCGGGGCAGGCAGGCAGGGAAAGAGAGAAGGACCAGAGGCAGGGGGAACTCGATCTTTGGAGTGCCAGAACCCCACATTTTCTTCCCCCTCCCGAAGAAAGGAGGACTACTGCCCGGACCAGGGTTTTCAAAGTTAAGAGAGGGGCTTTCCTCACCTGTCAGCATCCAGTAGGAGGCAGCCATGCCTGGACTCCTGCGAGCCACGGGCCAGGAGCCCGGGGCCGAGGTAGGAGCGATGGACGGGAGCGATCTTGCCGCCGGCACGCCCGGCAGCGGCTGTGCTGCGAGTGGAGTTCAGCTCTCTGCGCCTCCCGTCCGCCTCGCAGCCGAGTTAGGCATTTCCTGTTTGTTATTCAGTCCTTACGGCTTTTTTTTTTTTTCTTTTTTTTTTTTTTCCTTCACATCAAGAGGAATTTTACTTCTCCCCCCACCATCGCCGCTCAAAACTTTCCTCCCACCTAAGCCACCAAAGACCTCTTAGCGTTGGAAACCACCCCCCTTCTCTTAACCCAGCTCGAAGATGTACAAATAAAGCCAACCCTCTCCCCTTCTAAGTCTCCGACTACAGCCGTTGGAAAGCAGAGCAGACCTTAAAGGGGCATCTGCTGGCTTGTAATTAATTAGTAATGTCTCCCAATAGTCAACCCTCTCAGTAGAACAGGAGAGACCTGGGCATGCTTCATTGTCACCTCTCTCCCCCTTCTCAGCAGAAGAAAAACATTTCTGACTACAGGTCAAATTTAGTTTTTCTTTCCTGCAGCTCTGGAAATGAAATAACTCTCCAGAGGGCAATTTTCCCAAATCTTTGTGCCTCTCTAGACTATATACTGGGGAAATACCATGCAGCTGCCTTTGTCCTTGTCTACTGGACATTCGCATGGCATTGTATTACTGCAGTCTTCATTGGAAAGGGCTCTAGCAACACCATTCAAGGTGCAGAAAGCAATGTTAAGAATATGGAGGAAGAAGATCAGCCCACTGTAAGTGATGATCAGGTCTGAGACCATCTAAATAAAGAATCTGAAGGTGCACAGGTCCATGGGACTCAAAAAGATCCATCTACAGGTTCTGAGAAAACTGGTAGACAAATTTGCCAAGCCACTATCCACATTTGAAGGGTCATGACAGTTTGGTGAAATTCAAGCTGACTGAAGAGAGGAAACATAAAACCCATTTTCAAGAAGGGAAAAAAAGAAAATCCAGGCAACTACAGGTGAGTGAGTCTCATCTCTATGCCTGACAAGATCATGGAGCACATGGAAAATAAAGATTAGGTGATTGGTGGTAACCAGCACCTTCACCAAGGGCAAGTCATGCCTGACGAACTTGGAGGCCTGTTTTGATGGAGTTACAGAATCAGTGGTAAAGGAGGAGCAACTGACGTTGTCTATAGGGACTTGTGCAAAGCATCTGATACTGGCCCACATTACATCCTTGTTGCAAATCTGGAAAAAAATGGATTTGATGGATGGGCCACTCAGTGGATAAGGAATTGGCTGGAGGACCGCACCCAGAGAGTTGTCAATGGCTCAGTGTCCAAATGGAGACTGGTGATGAGTGGGATACCTCAAGGCTCGGAGTTGAAAGCAGTGTCATCTTTGTAGGTGACATGGACAGTGGAATCAAGTGCACCCTGCAAGTGTGCAGACGACACCAAGCTGAGTGTTGCAGTTCACTAGAACTAGAAGCAAGGGATGCCATCCAGAGGGACCTGACAGGCTTGAGCTATGGGCCCATACCAACCTCATGAAGTTGAACAAGGCCAAGTGCGAGGTCCTGCGCCTGAATAGGGGCAATCCCAAGCACAAATACAGGCTGGACAGAGAATGGCTTGAAAGCAGCCTGAGGAGAAGGATTTGGGAATATTGGTTGATGAAAGACTCAGTGTGAGCCAGCAATGTGCGCTTGCAGCCCAGAAGGCCAACTGCATCCTGGTTTGCATCAGAAGAAACACGAGCAGCCTGCTGGTCGAGGGATGTGATTCTGGCCTTCTATTTACTCCGTTCTCATGGACCCCTCTTAGAGTGCTGTGTCCAGTTCTGGAGCCCCCAGCACAAGAAGGACATGGAGTTGTTGTAACAGGTCTAGAGGAGGGCCACAAAGATGATTAGTGGGCTGGAGAACCTCTCTATGAGGACAGCCTGAGACAGCCAAGATAACTTTTTATAAGGTCAAGTAGCAGCAGGACGGAGGGAAGTGACTTTAAACTGGAAGAGGGTAGATTCAGACTAGATATTAGGAAGAAATTCTTTATTGTGCATATGATGACACAGTGGAACAAGTTGCTCAGTGAAGCTGACAATGCTCCCTCCCTGAAAGCATTCAAGGCCAGGCTAGATGGGGCTTTGAATGACCTGATCTAGAAGGAGGTGTCCCTGCCTATAGCAAGGGGGTCAGTACTAGTTGTTCTTAAAGGTCCCCATCCAACCCAAACCATTCAATGATTCTTTGATTGTATGATCTTCTCCCTTCTCTGCAACTTGAATGACTTCACTAATAAATTATAAAGATAATCAGTCAGATTCCAGCCTGGGAGTAGGAGCTTCCGGGGTTAATAAACACTTAGTAAAATACCACCTTGCAGGACTTTATTTTCATATTTTCCAAATTATGCTCAGGTTACCTTACCTCCCTTTATCAGTGTGTGAGTTCTTACATTGCAGCTACAGAAAAATGATTTAATTGTTCACAGAACAAAAGGAGCAAGTCTCTCAATCAAGAGAAAGAGAAGTCAAAATACTCTGTGGATTTGGGGATCTTCTTGCTACTAGAAATAATAGAACAAAGAGTTTGGTGAATAAGTGGAAGATAGTGGAATTTTTCTAAGTTCCTTGGGGACTCGTAAACTACAGCTGTTCATAATCACTACAATAGCTAAAGACATCTTCCAAACTTCTGTCTTACGTTTTATGAGGACACATTGAATGCACTTTTATTTGTAGATTGTGGAAATGCAAATTGTAGAAAATAATGCACAGTTTTAAACCTGGATTTAAGAGCGAAGGTCCCACTTCAGGAAAAATTTATACATATGCTTGCCTTTAGATATTATGCAATATCTAATCTAATTACCACAGTGGGACTACTCAAAGTTAATGAAATTAGGCACATATGTTACTTTTGCTGAATGAAGATATTAGATATGTTGGCCTCAATTTAAGGAAGTAAACGCGTTTTTTTTTTTTAGTTAAAGTATTTAGGCATAAAACAAAAAGGAACCAAATTGGAATTCAAACAAAAAGATGAGATTTTGGAAAAATCTGTCATTTCTTTTTTTTTTTTTTTTTTTTTTTTTTAGATCAAGTTACTTACAGTTTTAGACTGATTTCAAAGAATAACATCTTGTACTGTTATTTTAAAAACAAACATTTGTATTCCTTCTGTATCATTATACCTCAACTAAATGCACGTGGAGAAGTTAAGTTTGTTTCAATTCTGTGAAAGATTTCTGTCTGTAATGCTGGTCAGCTACTCCAGTGGACAAACAGGGAGACTAAGTACTTGCACGTGGATTAAATTATTCAATTCAAATCTATTTGAACTAGCTGTAAATGATAGTTAGTACTTATGTAGGGAATGCACACCATGGTGGAGGGTAAGGCTTCTTGAAACTAAAATCAAACATTCCTGATGTAAGATTGCTTCTGATTTCCTCTAAATTCTTCTGCTTATTATTTTTTATATTTCATTTTCTCATAAAAGTCTTTCATTAGGCAATGTCAAAAAGGAAGACAATAGAAGAGATGAACTGTTGGACTGAGCTAGAATTTCATACTAACTGGAATGCATTCAAAAAAGTATATTGCATTATAGACGATTGTTTATTTTTGAATACCAAGTAATTCAGAATAAAACACTCCTACTGCTTGTAGAATAGCTACTGTCTCTGTTCAGAATATATATTTTTATATATCTTGTTCAGACAGCTATTCAGAATATACATAGAATATACATAGAATACTCAGCAGATACTGAGTTCTAAGTTTTATACAAGGGCTGCTTCTCTAACAGCTTCTAGGCAGTCTGTTCCAATGTCACCATTGTCACCAAAGTCACCACACTTTGAGTGAAAATTTTCTGCATAACATCCAATCTGAATTTCTCCTCCTTTAGTTTAAAACCATTCCACCTTGTCATATCACTATCAGACCTTGCACAGTGTTGGTCTCCCTCCTGATTATAAGCTTCCTTTTAAATAATGGGACACTGCAATGAGCTCTACCCTGAAATCTCTCTTCTCCAAATTTAACAAGCCCAGCTTTCACAGCCTATCTTCACAGGAGAGGTGCTCTAGCCCTTTGATCATCTTTATGGTTTTCCTTTGGACCCAGTGCAACAGCTCCGCTTCTTGTGCTGGGGGCCTCAGGCCTGGTTTCCATACTCCAGATATGGCCTCACAGGAACAAAGTAGAGGTGTCAACCACTTCTCTTCCCCTGCTGGCCATCTCTTTTGGTGCAGCTCAGGATACTGTTGGCCTTCCAGGCTGCAAATGCACTCTGCTGGCTCATATCCAACTTTTTATTCACCGGGACCACCAAGTCCTTCTCCTTCAGGGCTGCTCTCAAGGAGTCCTCTCAGTCTGTACACTTGTCTGGGATGGCTCCAGACCAGATGTAACACCTTGCACTTGGCCTTGCTGAACCTCATTATGTTCACATGGACTCACTTTGTGAGCCTATACAGGTCCCTCTGGATGTCATCCTTTCCTTCTGTTATATCAACTGCACCACTCAGGTTGGTGTCACCTGTAGAGCTGCTGAAGGTGCGCTTGATCTCACTGCCTACATCACTGATAAATATGTTAAAGAACGATTGAGTGCAATAGCAGTTCCATGGAATCTGATAGAAATATTTGTGATGTAAGATTAATTTAAAGGCTTTGAAGAATTGGACTGTGAAAAAATAGGGAGAAAAAAAGTCAGGAGGACATACTTCTTTAAAGGGGTGTCATTTCTGTGACAAAACGTAAAAACACTCCCTGTCCTAAAGGTAAGAGACAAAGGAACTGGAACCAAAGCTTTAGAAACAGTTTCAGTGGTAGGCTCACTTCTAAACAATGTGGTTGTAATGTACAGAGAACTGATTTTCTGTTGAAATTGTTCTA